CACTTCTTGCTGCTGATCTAGCCAACCCTAGCTCACGGAATAGACAAGAGATGTTGAATCAGTTCAGTTTTTTTGATTCTTGTTTTTGCAGATCTTTTGTGTCCATTAGAATCCTTTTTGCCAATCAAATTGGACACTTCTAGGCCTTGATCTAGCCAACCCTAGCTTACGGAACAGACAGGTGTTGTTGACTCAGTTCAGTTTTTTTGATTCATGATTTCACAGATCTTTTGTGTTCATTAGAATCCTCAATCTCTAATTTGAATGCTCATACTTTTGCCAATCAAATTGGACACTCCTTGCCGCTGCTCTAGCCAACCATAGCTCACGAAACAGACAGGTGATGTTGAATCAGTTTAGTTTTTTTGATTCATGTTTTTGCAGATCTTTTGTGTCCATTAGAATCCTCAATCTCTAATTTGAATGCTCATACTTTTTCCAATCAAATTGGACACTCCTTGCCGCTGCTCTAGCCAACCATAGCTCACGAAACAGACAGGTGTTGTTGAATCAGTTCAGTTTTTTTGATTCATGTTTTTGCAAACCTTTTGCGTCCATTAGAATCCTCAATCTCTAATTTGAATGCTCATACTTTTTTCAATCAAATTGGACACTCCTTGCTGCTGATCTAGCCAACCCTAGCTCACGGAATAGACAGGAGATGTTGAATCAGTTCAGTTTTTTTTATTCTTGTTTTTGCAGATCTTTTGTGTCCATTAGAATCCTCAATCTCTAATTTGAATGTTCATACTTTTGCCAGTCAAATTGGACACTTCTAGGCCTTGATATAGCCAATCCTAGCTCACGGAACAGACAGGTGATGTTGAATCAGTTTAGTTTTTTTGATTCATAATTTTGCAGAATTTTGTGTTCATTAGAATCCTCAATCTCTAATTTGAATTCTCATACTTTTGCCAATCAAATTGGACACTTCTAGGCCTTGATATAGCCAACCCTAGCTCACGGAACAGACAGGTGATGTTGAATCAGTTTAGTTTTTTTGATTCATAATTTTGCAGAATTTTGTGTTCATTAGAATCCTCAATCTCTAATTTGAATTCTCATACTTTTGCCAATCAAATTGGACACTTCTAGGCCTTGATATAGCCAACCCTAGCTCACGGAACAGACAGGTGTTGTTGAATCAGTTCAGTTTTTTTGATTCATGTTTTTGCAGATCTTTTGCGTCCATTAGAATCCTCAATCTCTAATTTGAATGCTCATTACTTTGCCAATAAAATTGGACACTTCTAAGCTTTGATCCAGCCAACCTCAGCTCACAGAACATACAGGTGATGCTGAATCAGTTCAGTTTTTTTGATCGATGATTTTGCAGATCTTTTGTGTTCATTAGAATCCTCAATCTCTAATTTGCATTCTCATACTTTTGTCAATCAAATTGGACACTTCTAGGCATTGATATAGCCAACCCTAGCTCACGGAACAGACAGGTGTTGTTGAATCAGTTCAGTTTTTTTGATTCATGTTTTTGCAGATCTTTTGATTCATGTTTTTGCAGATCTTTTGTGTCCATTAGAGTCTTTGCCAATCAAATTGGACACTTCTAGGCCTTGATATAAGCAACCCTAGCTCACAGAACAGACAGGTGTTGTTGAATCAGTTCAGTTTTTTTGATTCATGTTTTTGCAGATCTTTTGTGTTCGTTACAATTCTCAATCTCTAATTTGAATTTTCATACTTTTGCCAATCAAATTGAACACTTCTAGGCCTTGATATAAGCAACCCTAGCTCACAGAACAGACAGGTGATGTTGAATCAGTTTAG